TTAGTTTTCTAAAAGCGAAAAAACCGTTACCCAACATCCTATCTATATTCATGATGAAAACAGTTCATGCCAAAGATGAAGAAAACTTATATTCCTTTCTCTCTTTTTCGTTTTGCAAGTCCATGAGTTAGCTTAAAATAAAGACAGTGTTAAGTACGAAGATTTACTTGTGCCACAATGAAATATATTTTTTTTATTTTAGTCAATGACCACCGTAGGCCAATATTTATTGCTTTCAAGTAAGTTATGTGCAGAAGTAATTGGTTTTTGCGTTGATAGGGCCGACAATGAATATAATGTTGCCAGCATCCAAATGAATTAGTTCGCTTAAAAGTGTTATTTGCTTTAATTAGGGCGAAAATAATTTTACAATTTCTTGGATCGAAAGAAATGCCTGAAGTTTTTTTATATTTTCAAAGAGGTCTTGTGCGGCATAGTTACAAAATTTTGAAAATGATTTTTTTACTGTGGCCAAAGAGATGTTCATTGTTATATTCAGCTCTCAGCAGTTGTTAACTGAACAAATCAGCTAAATAGAGTGATGGTTTTAAAGAAACGTTTTTTCAAACTTGACAGGAATAACTCGCGATATTAACTTGTTTTTTGGAAGTCTTTACAACTATTGTGTTCAAGGTGTTAAGCATGTTGAGCAGGGTGATAGCTCTCTTAAACTCTAAAAGGCATGGCCGAGTAGATAAGACTCAGCACGGGGCGCTTAGAGCATACTTGCTCGTGGCAGCAATCAGTGCTCTATCGATAAAGATCTTACACTTACGACCTACTAGACTGCGACTTGCTCCTCGTTCTCCTATCCTACTTCTTTCTGATCATCAACGTGATAGCCCTATAGTGCAGCGATTTGTTATGGAAAAAGTCGGTTTATGTGAGCGAATCATAACGATCGGTTCGACGTTTAAAAAAAGATGTTCAATTTTATACACGAAACTGTTTATAATACGCACTTGAGTTGCTGCTTTCAATATTGGCGTAGCGGCATTGTTTCAAAATCAATCATGCCTTTAGCCCGACGTACAATATTATATAAGTAAAAAATTATGTTTATTTTGATATAAATTCCCGAAACTATTCTGACAAACTGCTTTAGAAAATGTGATGAAATGTTTTTCAAGCGTTCAAGATTTTCATATAAAGCACTTGGTTCTCATTGGTAAATACTACCTGCGGAAAGATAATATCAGGATAGCGGGCATAAGTGATAGAAAACTTGATAAACAAAGTTTAGTAATACATGGGATAGCGTTTGGTTTTGCGATATCTTATTTTCTGTCATCATTAACCCGTTTATTGCATAGAGCATCAACTATACACCAGAAATGACTATAATTAATTTACAAAATTATATATGCGTACGTGTGTGAATAACTAAAAGGTAAATGGCATAGAATTGTAGTTAAATCAGGTTTGCTGTTCAAGCGTTTTGTTTTTGATTTGCATCCGATAGCAAACACACACTTGGTCCCTAAGCTCGAAAATAAAATAAGCTGTTATTCAATTTCTTTATACTGCTTTCCGCTAAACGTGATTTGATAAGCGTACGTTAACTTTTCAGCATGTCTTCCCGTATAACTGAACATTTTACATGAAACAACAAGTAAGAGAGAAAAACAAGTTGAAACGTTATGGCCGGGCGAGACAGACTAATCAATTCGTTCAGCTACTACGCGAAGCAAAGAATGATTTTCCAAAAAACTCTTACATTGAAAGAGATTCACAACATATGAACCGACATGGTTCAAGCTTAATATGCTTAACTTTTTTGAAAGAACTTTTTACCCTTCATCTATATATATATATATATATATCATAAGATAGCCCAACTTTAGCATAGCAACACAGTAAATTTAGTTTTACGATAGATCTCTTCTAGGAGCCACTTTACACCATAAAGTACTAGAAGTTAGATGTTGTTGTTACTTAGAGGCTTATATATGGAAAGGACAATCATATCCATAATCACTTTCTAGGCCTAAATACTATTTTTCGCTTTGAAATATTTGCCGAGCAATAGTAAAAGCTGCATTTTTCTTCTTTATAATGAGCTTCTTCTAAATGGCTCGTTGCGCGAGAAGCAGTCGTAAACATGGTTCGATCGGAGGCAAAAACATCTCAGTACAAAAAAATTTCACTTATTGCATATATCGCTTGAACACCAAAAAAGGCTGGGGCAGGCATTAGGGCGATTTAGAAAACAACTCTAAATTGATTTCCTCCGTAAAAGGTTTGTTTCTCTCAACTTGTTTCTGATGTTGCGTACACCCGTACAAACTTACCAAAAGTGTAGAGTACAACATGAATTCATGCATGAATATATGCAAGCTGAAATGAATGTGCGTTGAAAATGATGTGCTATAAACAAAAACATATTGAAAACGATTAAGTTGAAATAAAATTGTTAAAAATTTATTACAAAAAGCTATTTGGCATTATTTAGAATCACTTTCTAAATCGATATGAGCTTGTCTGTCGGTCCGTCCATCCGTCCAGTTTTTTAAAATATTTTGAAGTAATTTGGTGCACTGATGGGTGTTGACCGAAAGACCGACACTCTTTAAACATATTTCGTATCGGACGACTTGTTCGATCACTTCCCATATAACGATTATTTTTAAATTTTGCTACATGAATAATTGCAAGGAGATGTAGGGTGTAGAATAACGATAGATAGTGATTTGCTATAGTGTTTTTATTTGTTTTAAAATGATTTAAAACAAAATATTTTTATGGAATATTCCAAGTGCTTTGAATCGAACAAAACGCTACCATGCACTTGTTTAAAGGAAGCGACATTTTGTAAAGCCTATCTTTTTGAATGATTCTGCTAGTCACCACTTTACAAACAAGCAACGAATGCTTTTATTGTTCCAAAGGAAATGCAAAGCTATAAAAGATACCCAATGAATAATTTACTGATTTAAGACATTGCCTAACATATTAAGTAAATACGTTCACTAGTGACGTGTGGCTGTTAAGCAGAATTATTTGCAAGTAGTTTAATAAGCATAAGATAATTGAATAGAGTTCAAGCATTTCAAAGGCCTGAAAAAAAGTTATATACCCTATGGTTCGTTTCGGCCATTCAATTCATATTTGGAAACTTTTCTGAAGTTACATGTAAAGTACAATATTATTGAAAGCTCTTTATTTAATATTAAAGACAAGACGTTAAAGACAAGCAAGATAAAAGCACATATGTTTCAGTAAATATTATATAAAATCGAGTAAGTTATCCTTCTAACTTCCTCGGCTCATTCGAGCCGGCTTGACTTAATTTCGCTATCCTAATCGGGCATCATCTCGTTTGAGTAGCCGAGGAGGTAAGAACCGGGCGAATAGGCGACATTCCCTGACTGATTGGTCATATTAAAAAAACTATCAAGCTTCAAGTTTTGATCTTATAAGGAAATTTTGTATCACTATCATTTTTATGCAGCGCCACATTAAATACCAACATACTCTATCTGTTCTAGATATCGAGATATCGATCACATGATGTAACTAAAAGTTTATCAAAATTAATCAGTTGTGTCACTGCCATAATCCAATAAATTAAAATGGGAGGTTGAAATTTTATTTTGTTTGTGGAGTTCGCAATCAATTTAGAAAATGGGATCCAAAAACTCAGAGTGAGCTTATCGAAGGAGAAGATAGTGGAAAAAACTCGAAAACGATTGAAATTTTTTTGCTGCAATCAATAATATATTATCTCCAGGAGATATTTTCAAAAACATTCATCAGAATGATTTAAAAGCTCGAACGAAAAATGGATCTAATCGGCTTACGTCCACAATTAACAATAATATTCGCATTTCTACATTGTTTCAATCGGTTGTGAACGAATACAGTAACAACAGAAAGAAAATCACTTCTTGGACACACAAATTGGAAACGTTGGGTTTATTGCTCTGTTGTATACAACACTCTAATGAAAATGGTTCTCTTGGATCATTATATGATGAAAATGATGAATGAAAATGATGATGACAATGAATGGATACATTTTGGTCATACATAAATCGTCTGGCTAACTAGCACTAGTATCTTAGCAGATTTCAGTCAAGTTGACGGCCTTTACCCAACTCCCCTGAAGGCGGACTTCACTTTCTAAGAACAAAACCGTCTTCCTAAGTCGTACACATAATTTGCTTATAACAATACAATATATAAAGTAATATATGAAAATATAATAATGACATTGCATTGCTTATAACGAGAACATGCTAGGTTTTCTCTGATGTACGCAAAACACAGAACGACTGAAGACAGCTTTTCCACATATATTATAATTATTGCTACTATGATTAATTTAATCAGAGAAATAAATTCGTAGGCTAAAGTTTTTCAAGCACTAGGCTTCGGCTTTGTTGAAAACTCTACTGCACTTGAGGTTTGAACTCGCGACCATTGAGTAGTTAGTCGAGATTCTAAGACTACTTGGCGAATGAGACAGATTTATAAATATATATATATATAGCTTTTATTATAGCAATCGCTTGTGATTCTAGTCTGCCTGTCTATTATTTAATAAACATTATTTGTAAACAGAGACAGAAAGAAAAAGAGAGAGAGTTGAAGAGGGTTAGGAGCACTTGTCGAGCATTAAGTATCATCTTGAAATTGTAAACAGAATTATTGAAGAGACAGTTATAGTCATTGTAAATTCTTTGCAAATTGTTAAAGAGAATAAAATACATAAGGAATCGCAAAAAAAAAAAAAAATAAATAAATAAATAATAAAAAATATTTTCTAACAAATTTCCAACATAAGCATTCCGTGACAAACGGGTGTTTTCTAATGTACAGCAAAAGCTAAATTAAAATTTTCCCCAGATTAACAATAGCGTTACTTCATGGCATTGTTTGATTTTATTATTCTTTCTGCTATCAACAAAGCAGTGCGAGTGCACGAAAATCATAAGCAATTAATTACTTAAGTTTTTAATATGCATTGTCTTGTGTGGCGTTTGTGTTCTTTTTTGCAGAAATTCGTAGCATCTCTGGTGAACCAAATTATAAATCTGTCAATCTTACTTGGGAAGTGGAGTTCGTTACCACTCCTTCAAATCAAGCCGCCGATGCCGTTAATGAAGTTGAGCTACCGAAGGTATTTCAAATTTATTTCTGTGAATTGCAAACATTTGGACCGCATCGATGTCGCTCAAAATCGATAGATGAAACAAAGCAGACGAACGCTTTCCTAGCGGATGATAAAATGTATAGCAACAATAACAACATCTGAACTAAAGAATAATGTATTGTATGAATTTTTATACATTTTAGTAGACAAACGCGTCAATATGAGGCTTACATTGACAACTTGCGTATGGCTACTAAGTATCGATTTCATATACGTCCACAAAGTCGGCGACGGGATATTAAGGTTACAGGGCGTTCAGAAATATTTAGTAATGAAGTTGAAGATTTTAACGAAAACGCCAATGGCCAGACAATAATTATACCAACCAAAGGCTGTAAGTGTTGCATAGCATAGAAAAGCGGAAACGTTTTTTTTTTCTAAAGATACGATTTATAGTTTCAGCCCAGGCTACCAAATGTTTGCCGCATGCCTCGGAAATTGTAGTTGAAACTGGTCCTTATTTTGCTGGTAAGATTGTCGTAGATGGAGGCAAGTGTGGCATTAAAGGTAATCCGGAAGATCCAAGGGACACATACACTATGCGGATTGAGCATCAAGCATGCGGTAGTTTAGTTAAACCGGAGACGAATACCGTGGAAACATTTATAACCGTTCAAGAGAATCTGGGAATATTTACGCATAGCACCAGAAGGTATATTTCTCTAAGAATTTGTTTTTTTCTTTTTTGAAAATAGATAAACGAAAAGCGGTTTTTTTCTTTTTTTTTTGTTTTCCTTCTCAAAGATTTGTCGTTGTTTGTAGTTATCAGTCAGGCATGCAAACGGTAAGAGCCAGCTTTTCCGTACCCGGGAAAGGCGGTGTTGCAGCTGTTGAACATTCCAATGACGATGAAGATCGTAAAGGCCGCCTTTTAGAACCGCCCAAGTTTGTAGATAAAAGTGAATTAGTTCTTAAGGAAAATAATGATGAAGATTTAAGTAGCTTGACTACTGAAAAAACTGAAGCAAATGAAACGGAAGCTTTGGTTAAAGAAATAGAAAATCATTTATTGCATGCAAATGAAACGGAAACGATAATTAGTATGCAAAACTCTAGCGAACATGATGTCTTAAGTGCGGTAGCTTGGCTGGAAAATATCGTACCCAATGTCAATGAAGATCACATTAAATCCAAAGAGATGAAAAGAGAAAATGAAAATAAAGAAAATATAGCGGAATATGCCAAATTAGTCTTGAATCGTAACGGGCAAGATGAGGAAATGATTGCCGGCCTACTGCATGAAGCACAAACAGGAAAAGGTAAACCATTTGAATATAAATTACATTCGATAAGTAAGTGATAAACACACAATTAATAAATATTCGCTTTTAATGTAGCTTTCATTGATTCGTTAGTGAAATTCGATACACTTAACGTGAGCTCCGTTGCTTTAACTATTCTATTATCTGTGATATTGTTGTTGGTATTCTTGTTGATATTCTATCGTGAATTCAAGAGGCGCAATATGCCAAATCAAAGACAACAGCTATCATCTACATTATCATTATCATCATCATCATCATCATCATTACCATCGTCATCGTCAGTGTCGACCAATCTGCCTCGACTTAATCATCGACATTTGCAACAATTAACTTTACCCAGATCATTACAAACCAAAAATCAAGAATTATTAGCTTGAAAGCATAAAATCTCGTACCACTTAACTGGAACAAAAAAAAAAAAAAAAAGGAAAAAAGAAAAGAAAATATTACAAACTATTAATTATATTAATCGTTTAGGTAATCAAATCTATGCTCGATTGTCTTGTTGAAATGAATAAGATTTCGTTTTAGCTTAAGATGACTAAGCATAGTTTAAATTTTATATTAATTAAAGTTAAAGTAAAGCTAAACTTTGGATTCGCCCTAAATTTATTCATCTCATTAATTTTTACTTAGTTTTAAAATAAAATATAATTTTTTTTTACTCCAACAGAAATAAAGAACAGAATTTATATAAAAAAAAAAAAAAAAAAAAAACTTAATTTCATCGCTAAATATTTAACTTTGCACATATGTTTTGTTTGGTAAGTAAAAAACAAAACAAAAAACGTGACTAACTTTACTACTTGCTATGTGTGCATAAAGCATTGGACGTCAACCGGTGATCCGCCAATACATTTTGCTCGCCCACAGAAGATTATGAAGGTATTATTTATTATATCGTTCGCATCGTTTCGTTCGTTATCGATGATAAAGGCAAAAAAAAATATCCATTCCCGTAATATGGGAATTTAACAAGACCAAGTGAAGATAGTATAGTCAGACAAGGTCGACCGTTAAATGTCTTATGTCATTTTACCTAATATAATTAGTTATTCATTTATTCTGTATTTCCATGTAAAGGCATACTTTTCATGGCAAACCGTATATGGAACAGAACGGGCCAGGCAAGCTAGGTGGATTCATATCCAGCAAAATCACCTTTCTTGCGAAATATCTTCTTATCCCCCACTTAACTTCGTCATAAACTATGAAAAACTAAACTTTGTTTCTATTCGAAGGCTTACCTTTCTGGAGAACACTTATACAATGGTATAGTTCTTCGTTGTCCAAATTCTTTTCTTTTTTTTTTTTTCAAAATGCTATTGACGATCAATTTGCCTCACAAACTTTTAAAAATTGCGCCGTTTTGCCATACCAAGGTCAACTTCTTGTAAGAACCTTTATAGAGTGAGGTGGATCAAAAAGTGCTTCTACTTATCAACAATAGCTACAGATTTAACTTGTCGCTTGTAACAATCGGGGGAATCCGCTACAATAATTACATAAAGTAATTAAGCCGACGATATTATCAACAATGAGAAAATAAGTAAATACCAAAAGCTTGATCGACTTATTTTTCATACACTTCTGCACATTTCGTTTATGGGTATTCCAAATATTTGGTGTTAAATGCAAATTAAATTTTTTTAATAAACAAAACTGTCACCTCGACATCGGTTTCGTTTTGAGTGTGCGTTTCCGTCTTACAGCAACGTTGCATGAAGCCGTACTGCAGTACACAGATTTCTTTCCAATTTTCGCTCAAAAAAAAAAACAGTCATTAATAATTGCGTTACAGAGAATGGTTCAACAATCATTTTAGTATGAAAACTGGATTTCTTTTATTAATCCGCATATATGTTATATAAATGCAATAACGTCTTAACGTAATAAAAGGTATTAACAGTGGGCAATATTTGAAAAATTGCCGACCGCTGATGCATATGGTGAACGGTGAAATAGTTGACACAATTAATGGAAACAAACTGAAAAACCCTTTTTAGGTTAAAAGCGAAGCAAATACTTGAAAAAAAATTGAATTAAAATGATTTGAACTGAATTTGGCACGAATTTCGTTTCAATTGATTTATCAAAGTATACAACTTTTGCCTTTTTCTTAAAGGCTATTAAAACGAGAAAACGTGGATTGCTTAGAAACACACACACACACACACACACACACACACACACACACACATACATACATACACACAAAGTTACACACATTTGCACACTTGCATTCATTTGGTGTAAAAGTTAAAGGCATTCATCATAACGGTCTAAATAGTTGAAAAGCTTACAATCAACATTCAACTTGTGGGTTAAATGTTAAAGACATTATCTTCTCTATCTTACGTATTCGTTTGTGTGTATGAATGAATGTACTTTTGTGTATGCGTGTATATATTTTACAGAATATTGCTACTCCGGGTGCATTAAGGTGTCAAAAATGAAATGAAAAACCATTATTTGGCTTTGAAGCTTAACAAATATTGCCACTAGACCTCCTATAAGCTTTAAGTGAGTTTTTCTGTTAATCACTGTACATTGGCCGGTCGATTAAGTAAAACCAACTTTTTGCTTTAATTACCATAATAAACCTAAATTAAAATTTTTTATTTGGCCAGTAGGTCAGCCATTAAATAAATATTTTATCTAAATTCACAAATAGGGTTTTGAAAAGATAACGTTACACGAAGAGTGATCGTGAAGCTCGTCTAAACCAATCTCTTTTTAATAGGCCAAAATACAAGAATGTCTCAAATTTCATAAAAATTTGTTGAAAATTTTCGTCCTGTATGCAGACAGATGGCAGTTCAGGTAGAAATCAATTTAGAATACGATACTCGGTTAATTAATTAATACACGTTGGAGTTGAAATGAACTTGAGTACACCTATCCGTTACGTACATTCACAGAAATTTAATATACCCTTACGAAGTGTAGATTGTAATTATTGCTTAGTATTTTCTAAACATTAAAATCTTAATTGTTTACAATCGCTTTAGCACAGTCACCCATTTGGTAAGCCAATGGCCTTTGTTGACCTATTCATTTTAAGAAGACATATTGAAGGTATATCTCCAAAGCGAATATAAAATTATTACTTGTTTTCATATAACATTAGGTACAATTTGTACTAAATTTCAGATTTCAGTCAGAGTTTAGAGTATCAACTTCATCTATATTAGCCATGTTAGTGAGATCTACTCCACATTTAAGCTGCTATTCACAGAAAAACTGGCAAGTCTTAGATTTGAATAATGGATCTTAACTGAGTTCTTTTACCAACAAACAGCCATATGTGTGTCAAAATTTGTTTTTTATACATTGCATGCGAGCGTCGATCCGATTGAGCGGATGAATAGACAGGGATCGCAACTACCTACCAAGCCAGTGTTCGCTGGTGCAAATATTAAGCTCGGTAAAGGTTACTTCAGTCGTAGCTATAGTGAGTGTTCAGTCGGTACAAGCATAACGTATAACGATTGGGCACATGCCCACTAAGTTTCCGGGCACTTCTTTATTTCTTTCTCCTTCCTCAACTCATTCTGACCGTCACCGCACTAGAAGGACAAATGACATCTGCTGAGGGATTGATCATATTAAAAACAATAAGTCTGTTCCTCAGATCCGCCTATCATAGTTGAACTCATACTATTTGAATTTCTTTAGTACAGGAAAATCTCAATAGGAAAAGATATTGAAAGACTAGACGAAGAACAGAACGAAAATTAGCCTATGATGTTTTAGCGCTTAAGTTGTCTTACGTATTTTCTGATTTTCGAAACCAAAAATCGCTTCTTAAAAACACCTATGATATACTTTCATTTTTACTATTTTTAACCGTTAACTAGCTCACTCCATCCGTTTTCATTATAATACGTACAGTATTATCAAGACTTCTTTAGCCTTTCGGAAAGGTTGGAGAAGAACTTATGGATTGTATCGCATTGTCGGACTATATCAGCGCTGAACAAGAAAAAATTTTACTTACTTGAACTTTGCGCATTGAATTTCTTCGTACATACAAGATAAAACTCACGCAAAAGCTGAACCGTTGAAACTTTCTTCTCATCCGCTGAAAAATAGAAAGACTTTAACTATTTTAATCAAAAAATTATCTTCAATGATAAGCAAATGTTTATCTGATCAAAGTTGGTGAGCCATGAAAGCATCATTGGAGATTTTTAATTCAAATTTTAAATTTATGTCAGGCCATTAATCATTGTTTTAAAGATAAATCAGCAAAAATTTCATTTTTCAATTCAAGTCGATAAACGTGGCCGAATAATAGTCAAGTGGAAGGAATAGAAAATATCCAACTTTTATTTACAATAAATAAAAATACTATAACGAATCATAGACCACCGTTCAATAACCTACACTCTCCTACAGTTATCATGACAGTTATTACATACAGTTATTATTCAGAATAAGGCTTTGTATGGGAGGCGGTCGAAAATGTGACCCGAGCTGAACCATTTTCACGGCAGTGTACGGAATTTTTATTACAATATCTTAAAAATTTACGACCGGTAGATGGAACACAACAATACAAGATGGGCAGGCGGACTCACGGACAGACAAGCTTAGATTCAGATTCTGAAAGTGATTCTAAATCGATCAGTATAAAAAATGGTGCTCCTTTCTCAACTTGCACTGGGCGTTGTATACATTCCCATAAACTTAATATACTCGTGTACCACAAGTGACGTAAGCTGTACCAAAACTTAAACTTTTACTATCAACATATGTGTTTTATATTTTATAAAACAGCAATTAACTCCCGCTGTACTGACGCTTTGGCGTCTCTCTTGAACATAAATAGAAGGTGTTCTGTGTTTTGTACACAAAGCAAATCGTTGATAAGCCGCATTTACTTTTAAAAGAAGTAGTTAAACGAAAAGCTTCATATATATATATAAATATATTTTCTTTTTTTTTTTGTAAAGTTCAGGAGTTCACTTGAAACTATTGATTAAAATTTATTACAAGAAAAAAGTTTAGGCAAACAACGAGATAAGGAAGAAATTTGTTGGCGAGAGGTAGTAATAATTGATAATTAAAGCATTAGTGCTATTAACACAACTTGCAAGTCACTAAATACCAAAAATTGCTACAACGAAAAGAACAGCAACAAACCGCAAGTAAAGTATTAAATGTGTAAATTACACTTACATGGTATTAGAAAATTATTCCTTTCTTCTCTTTCGTATTCAATATTAACAGGAAAGCAAAATAAAAGACTTAAGAAAGAAACTTGAACTTTTCCGAACAATAAGTTTTTTATTTATTTATTTTTTTTTTATAATAGAACATATAGTCGTTGTTGTTGTTGTTCTTGTTTTTCGATATTATAAAGACATGAGTG